AAATGCAGCTCGACTGTAATTGGGTCTCGTAGGCTTCGGCGTGGTAGAGCCGCTGTTTGATGTAGACGCTGAAAAAAAGTCCTAAGCAAACGTGATTCTGAAGCTAGAAATGATGAACCTTGCGCGCTAGTGGGATTGCTAACACTCTGAGACAGAAACTCTGCGAATGGATCGAAATGGGCAGAACTTTGTTGAAACGCCGGTGCCGAGACATTTCGGTGAATTGAAAACTGTGGTCCAGCGCTAAGACCTTAACGGAATGATAGATGAAGAAAAAAGAAGCATTAACCGACAGTGCTTACTATTAGCAGACCACTCTCCCAGTAAATCACCGGTGCTAGGGGCAGCAGGGCCAGTTCCTGACCAAGTGTCTTTCAACAGATCTGTAAACGGATCTGGAGCCGGTGCCGCTTGTTTTGCATCTAGGCTGTTAGGTTCTGAAAACACAATGCATCCAATTAATAAGCCTAAAACAGTATTCTTTTGTTAGAGTTAATATGTCAAATCATTTTAAGGTAAAATCATCATCCCCATTTTTTGCTAAATTAAATTGCTGCGGCACCTAGTAGTTCAAACCCAGGAGAAGACAAAAAAACAACTTTCCTCAGAAGTGCATCAATGCTCTTTCGGCAAAATTCAACTTTAAATTGTGTATGTTTATTATACATTCATGAATTTAATACCAATTTGTACCTGCAGAACTACCAAGATCCAACAAATCGAATTCACTTGAAGGTGCACAAGGCGGAGTAAAAGCGCTTAGTATTGGTGTCTCCTTCTCACTATCAAATGGATGCTGATCGGCGTCTCGGTTGGTAGGTTTATCTATGAGTGCATCTCCAGATCTTTCGTAAGCTTCGGCAGTATTCATTTCCTTCAAAATTTATTAGCTTAAATCCAAGAGGATAAATAGAAATTATTTCAAACTTTCGTCAAGCTTTCTTCATAACATCTTTTCCCGCCATAGAAAACATTGGCATTACTTCAATGACTCACAGTATGCATCGGAGGACAAGAAGAAAAGCTTCTGCTCGATGGTGATGTAACTTGAGTCGTCTGCTCCCTGTCTGAGTTTGAAGTGGGAAATAACTCTGAGGATGAGGCGTCAGTAGGAGGATGTATAACATTATGAAAAACGGGTGGCTGTGCTTGAGCGGCGCATGCTTTTTGACTCTCTGACCAATCCAACGTCTCAAAAAAGTCAGAACTTGACGTAACAGGAAATTGTGAGGTTTCGCCTGAGATTTCGGAGCGCCCAGCATCGATGGATACACTCGCCTCTGACGACATGCTATACCAGTCCATTATTTGTTCTGAAAATGCTAACTCGCAACATGCAATCTTACACTTCTGCGCACGTGAAGTTAAAAACCGTAAGGAAAATAAACATTACCACCTTGTTTCACGAGATTTTCGAAGTATTTATCTCTTTTTAATTCTTACTTTGTATAGGAGAAAATATTTGACGAAGAAAAGAGCAGTAAGTAGAGCAAATATACCAGCCAGTACTTCCAGTTAAATGAAAGAAAAGACATTAAATGCGCACTCATTGCTCGCAAGACAGTAGATAAATCATCAAAAGAGTTTGTCAAATAACTCAAAAGTTTCCTAAAATCGACTCTTAACTCTACCACAATAGCTACAAACATTATTCTCGCATACGATAGAAAAACAAGCATTTAACACAACAGTAATTTTTGAGATGTGTGGTGAATCTTCCTATTTCCATGTGAAAATGTTACGGTAGGAAAGCAATATTATATTTGGGATTAACATACCAAAAGTGCTCTTAGAGACCTTAGAAAAGCGAGTATGAAGTTTCAACAGCCTTCGATTGCTGCAAGTGCCACGCTCTGCCATAAAAGTAGTAAGATTGACTTACTTTGCTCTTCAAAATCGAGAACGAGTAGATCAGGGGAGCCAGCTCGTAATACACCGAGTTCTTGTGAGGATGTAACATCAAGATTATCATTCTGGGAGATGAACCGCAAGCCCAACGCGACCCTGGAATGAGTCAGTTATCTGCGATAAGCAAAAAGGATAACTGTGCCAACTATATTTCAAATTCCTTATTTGCCTTGTCTCCACTGAAGACTCAAAATTTTGGCATAATATTGGCTACTAAAACTTTTTGTAGCAATTGTTTAGTTGAGTATATTATTTCTGTTTCTAAATCATATTCGTAAATCAGCAACTATTATTTACAGCCGCATACGCAACCCTGTGGTTCTACCAGTGAGATTCGATGAAAAAGTTTGCTCCTTTTTTCAGTGTATTTCAGCAACGTTCGACGAGTGCAAAGCTTGACAGTTATAAATGGAAAATAGTCTTAAAAACGAAGATTATACTCAATAAATACGGGATTCATTTACAATATAACTCACTGCAAATATGATTTGGTGCATGTATAGTTGGGAAAGTTTCATCGATAAGGGGGACTTTACATGCAGACTTTGATATTTCGAAGAACTGCTGGAAAGAATCCTGTTCTTATCTTCAGTGTTTTCTTTGCTTCACCAGTTTTTAATAAAGTGCTTCTGTAAACTGGAGACATTTCTAACGACTGAAATTCACCATAATTTAGGACGGAACTTTTTTAGCTTTCCATGCG